AAGTAATGCCAGATAGATTTGTTTGTGATAACTGTGCGGAAGGTCGCCAACCGTCCTGATGGAGATCCTCTTTCCTGCAGAGTTTAGTTACAAATCAACAATCTGGCCCCCCCAACTTACCTAACACAAATGCATCTGATCCAGCTAATCAGGGACCTCTGAAGAAGTTAATTAGATGGAGCAGGAGTGGTAGATTGTAGCTGTACTCTACAGGAAGGTAGACCTCCAGGACCAGGGTTGGTAACCACCACTGTATGACATACTGTTGTCTATAATGTCTTTTTTGGGGGTATTTTTGCCCAATTTTCTTCCATGTTTAGTCACAGACATTTCCACCCACTACTTCTACTGGTCCATTCATCATGAAATGCGATGGGGAACTGGAACTTTCAAATTATACAAAAAAGTAATAATATAAAAACAATGATGTTTCCACTTACAGACCTGAAGCACCATTGCATTTTTTCAAACAGCTGCTGATGCTATTGTCCAATTATGATCTATTGGACTACCAGATGGCTACACGGATGGCTGGGGCATCGCCAGGGATCAAACTTGTGATTACCCAATGATACGGACGATGCTTAGACTGCACGCCGTCTTGGCTGATCCACTACATTTGGGGAAAGTTGAGTTTAAACCTGATTTTTTTTTTTTTTTTCTCAAAACTATTGCTTTAATCTACTGCAGCTCACACTGGGCTCCAAACTCTATTATCAACTGGATAATTCATTTCCCATAACTAGGTGTTATGAATAAATGATCTAACGTGAACTAAATTCAGCTCTGTTTTTTGAGGCAGAGCTAAGGAACTGGCTGGAAAAGCACTTTGGCTTAATGTTCAAACAACAGTGAACAGTTTTCTGAAGCGGCTCTCATGGAAAATTGGATTTCCATTCTCTTTTTTTTCCCGAAACACATTGGCAACATTGACTTCCCTTATCAACTGAAGGGCATCTATATGTCAGCAGGAAACAATCTCATGTGTGTGAATGTCTTGAGACTCGAAATACAAAAAAGACTCAAATTTGGGTCAAATAAGATCTAAAACAAGCAAGTTCTCAATAACCACAGACAATGCGCCTCTTTTCAGTGAAATGACTGACTGTATGAACTAAAGCACACAAATACAGACTCGGGCTCAGTGCGAGCACTGTGTGTGAGACACAGGTTCAAAGGCCGTTGGTCAGGTTGGGGTCAGCGGAGGCCGTGAGGCTTCAGGGTGCTACAGTCACATGTGTATTGGTAGCCAGAGACATAAGCAGTACTATTGTTCCACTTCCTTTCTCCGATAGAGCTGGGCCACGATACCATTCACACCCTGCTCACATGAACACTGCGCTTCACATCCACTGGAAGTGGATAAATAGCCATACACGACTGGACAATATATCATTCATTGATCAGTAGCACAGTACTGGTCATTATAATGTGATACTGCAATAGACAGACATTTGTAAATAAGCCCTGTTTAAGCGGGATCAGTTTTACCTGGAGAGGTACATTTATCATTTTCAGCCACCATTAAGGTACTAAGGTATCAATTCAAGCATTCATTTGGCACATTTACACAAATGTAGTCAATCAGCCAAGATGTAGTACTGGACTACTGCAATGGTCTTTTTACTGGCCTTCCTAAGACCACAATCAGACAGCTACAGCTTAATCAAAATGCAGCTGCTAGAACGGTTATGAGAACTAAGATATCTGAGCACATTACTCCAATCCTCAAGTCGCTGCACTGGCTACCAATTAACTACAGAATTGACTTTAAAGTGCTTCTAATTGTACATAAATCTCTGAATGGCCTTGGACCAAATGCACTGCTGATCTGTTTGAAGTATAGGAACCTAATAGGCCTCTTCAATCACTCGGGACCAAACAGTTAGTAGTGCCTAGTATCAGAACCAAACAGGGTGAGGCAGCATTCAGTCATTATGCTGCCAACTGCTGGAACAAACTCCCAGATGGGGTCAGATATGCTCCAAATGTAGCCATCTTTAAGTCTAGTTTCAAGATGTTCTTGTTTCCTTGTGCCATCTATTTTTATTTCTTTGAAGCCCCTATTTTATTTTCTATTTTATTGTCTTTTATCTTAAGCACTTCAATTTTAATTTTATTAACTATAATTGCACCTTTCTGAGGTGCTATACCTCAACATGTCATAAGCTTTACTAAATATTATTTAATGCTTTTCATTTTCTGTGTTTGTGCGAAGCACTCTGAATTGCCGCTATGTATAAGGTGCTAAACAAATTACCTTGCCTCGCCTTAAAGTTCCAAACTGTGCCATTTACTCACCAATCCATTCGGTTCATATATGGAAACCTATTTACAAAAACTACCCCTTTGAAGTCATTGTTCTTGTGACATCAGGAAACCAAAACTTTTACATATCTCCTCCTTTTCAGCCTACAGCAGCTTAGCCATGCACATTCATGCCGAAGTTATAAGGAATGTTTCAATTCAGACTTCTTTTTGAATGAGGGCAGCCAGTCAGAAAAGTCGTCATTTACATATATCAGTCTTGAAGACACAATAACAGAAATAGTCTGTTTAATTCTAAGGAATAAAGGAAGGTTGATGTAAAAAGTTCATGTAAAAATGAACCATGACGTTTTGTGATGTTTTTGGTACATAAAACCACACAAATGTCGTAGGTGGACCTCAGAGGGGAAAAATAAAATATAACAAAATTGTAGGATATGGGCCCTTGAAGCAATTTTAAATGGACTTGCTTATGTGGTTTCTGACAGAGCCTGTTTATGGAGAGCCTGGTCATTTCCTTATTCCTCCCATTATACCAAAAACAGTACTACCAACTGCTGGAAGGGAAGCGTGTGTGTGTGTGTATATATATACACACACATACATATATATATATACACATACATACATATATATATATATATATATATATATACATATATATATACATATATATATACATATATATATATATATATATATACACACACATATCATTGCTGTCGCAAAACCTTGTATCTCCAAAATGGAAAAGGAAAAAACACACTTTACTTTTAATGTAAGTCAATGGAACCAGACTGTTTTTCATTTTAGGCTGTTTCTTTTTGTTTAATCATCATGAAATCTACAGACAATGTGAAGGACAGTAGGTATTTTCAAATGATGTCAAAAACAGAAAAACAACAAAAATGGAGATACAAGGTTTTCTTCAGACAAGGCTTTAGTCATCCTGTTTAGCAACTGTCTTTTTTTTTTTATTTATCTTTTTTTTTTCTCAGAAATATTCTGTTTCATTTTGTAATAATAATAATGATTGACATTGTGGAGGTGGAGGTGGTCATTTTCTCAACGTTTGGGTGTGAATGGAGCGAAAAGGCTAAAAAGGTTAATTAAATAATTTTCTAGTCTTTCAAACAGAAATTTCTTTTAATATTGCAAAGTAGAACAATCTATTACATAAAAAACTATTAAATTTGACCGTATTTCTCATTTCTGTAACAGGCTTGTGGCAGTAAAATGCCACAAGACATTACCAACTAGCAGTTCTCTCTAGAAATTCTCTGGCCTCTCACTCTACATGACACATTGTTATGAATAAAAATGGACAAAATTCAGGCTTCAAGATGGCTTCAACTGCTGTTTGTTATCTATGCAACACACTTGTGTCACTTTACATCCAGGATATTTGGGGAAATAGAAAATTACACAGACACTTTCTTGGCCAGTGAACTCCCTCACAAATGTCATTACCGAAGCTTCTCTGGAAGAGAATTCAGCTTTAGAAATCTCCACACTGACCAATCACAGAGGAGCGTTCTTTAAGCACTATGATGAATCAGACACTCATCCGTTCGAACAAATGCACATCATTTGTCAAAGTCATGTATCAGCCCTATCTTTAAGCATGTGATGAAATGTTCACTGATGTGCTTTTGGCATATCTGAGATCATACTACAAATGAACACTATCCTTCTTCAGAGCCTCAGGGACAAGAGGACACATCTCTATGCAGCGCAGGAGACACTCTGATCCTGGTTACATCGTCTGAGACAAAGTTAGGTAATGAGTCATTTGAGCCAGAATGATTCACAGAGTCGAATTAAGCCTCAGCACGGCCAGGCTCTCCACAAGTGATTCACAAGTGGAGGCCTTAAAACACTGAGCATGATTTATTTAGATGTCAATAAATAAATGTGAACATGTGTCTAACTGATGACATCTAGCACACCAAATGCATATTTACAGACAGAAAAAAATGTAAAATTATATTATTTCTGTCTGCTTGATAAACTCACTCAACCAATCACTGTTGTATTTGTGGTTGGCATGGCGACAACCAAGATGACTGATTGGTTGTGTCCTGGCAACCAGAATGTTTTGACAAATGATGAGTCTGTCTGTCTGCTAACTCAGACTGGGTTCACTGGTTTCGGCTCCTGAATGAGGCGGTGAAACGTTCTTTCCAACACTGAAAGCAGCCTGCTCAATAATAATAATAATAATAACAATAATGCACATGCACATTATCTAAGCCGCTTTTTCTTTCTGGGTTGCGGGGGGGTGCTGGAGCCCGTACCAGCGGTCACTGGGCAGAAGGCAGGAAACACCCTGTACAGGTTGCCAGTCCATCGCAGGGCAGACACACAGACATATATTATCATACACACACTCACATCTAGTGTGTCCAATCATGACTGCATGTATTGGACTGTGGGCGGAAACATGGGGAGAACATGCAAACTCCACACAGAAGGGACCCTGGTAGCCCGGCCGGGGAATCGAACCCAGCCTCACAGCACATCAATGCTCTTTGCAGTGCTTTAAAGTGATGAAGGCAAATAAAAGCCAACATAAGAGTACTCACTGACTCTTGTCTGTATAAAAAAAAACAGCTTGATTGTAGCTGCGATAAAATCTTTTCCAAATATTTCACTTGTATTTCGTCACTTATTTCTGTTGTGTTTGGTGTCACTTTTTGGCTTAAGTCTAGTGTTAGCGTGTCTCCTCTTACCTCCACACTGCTCACTCGACCCTCCTGGAAGGAGCACTCGGCCACATTGTTGGTGCAGATGTGCCGATATTTGCACCAGTTACAGGGAAAAGGGCTGCTCACACACGATGAACACCTGCAGAGTGAGAAGGAAATAAAGAAGACAGCGTCGGTCAGGGGCAAGCCAAACAAAAACGTTCATCTACTCAATGATCAGACCCAACTGCTTCCCATTTATGTTATTGTTTTTATTTGTACTGTTTTTCTTGCTCTGGCAACAATAAAGCTCGTCGAACTGAACTGACAGAGGGAGGGCTGCTATGTTTTTTGGAGCCGAGACACATTAAGGACCCATAAAAACCCATGAAAGCTGTGAATGTGGAGCAGAAAGATGTGTGAGCGTGGCTGAGGGGAAATAAGGGCCAAGATGGCAGCGTCTCCAGCAAAACAGGGAAACTCTGGTTTTAAAAGAGGCTCCCCCTGGAACCCAATACATCAGTGACATCCGTAAAGATTCACAATGAAGTCCCTCTGCCTGCCGCGCGTCTGCAGCATGCTAACATCTTGAGCGTGCCCCGGGTCAGACATTAGCTCCGGCGCCGAGGACGCTCACGCAGGGTGAGTGAAGACGCTGCTGCGAAAATCTGACCGCTCAATATGTCATGAAAGCTCCTCTTTCACTTTCGACATGCGCAATTAATCCTTGAGGGCCATTGAAACTCAGACACTTTCAAGCCGCCTTTCAATTGCTCATTAACTGTGGGCCTGAAAAGGCTGATTTGACTCCGGCCTTAACAACGGACCCAATTAAGAGCATTATGCCCCGTGGAGCAGCAGCCGCACAACACACCTGTACCCCTGAGAGAGCAGCACCACAAAACATACAGCCAGAGAATCAGGACAGTGTTCGCAAGTATATAAACAGCCAGGATTGTTTAAATTGTGTCCCGTCAGTTAATGTTGCCAATTTACCCCAGGGAGCCCAGGAGGAGCCAGAATTGTGTAATACTTTTGTTTGTTTGTAAACACTACCATTCCAAAAGTTTAGAATCAATTTACAACTTCACATGTTTCAACTAATTTGTGGGAAGCGGTAAAAAAAATGTAGGAAGTTTTAAATGTGTCTGAAAGGATAAACAGTGCTGTAAATGATTCCATAATAACTGTGAAAGCGGTAAAGCCTTGAGAATAACGTTGAAATGAACATGCAGAATACCTCGCATTTGAAACATGATCAAATCTAGATGCAGAGAATTACAGTAAATACATACAGTGTATTATTTATAATTTACTAAGTGCTTGATGTTTCCAAACACAGTAAATACTGAATAATAATATATACTAATAATAAATATTATTATAATATATATTAATAATAAATACATAAATAAATATGCATAAAATACCTTCTCGTGTCTAGCTTGTAGTGTTTCAATCAACACAGTATAAGTTACTGTTGAATAAAATTGCAGAAAGTGATATGAAATGATTCAAACAAGTGATTCCAAGCTTTTGAACAATAGTGCAGAATACAGTCTGTTCAACAGTGTCAGAAACCAAATAAGCAAGTCTATTTACTTAAAGCGACACTGTGTAAGATTTGGAGACCCCTCTGGTGGAAACGTGTAATTGCATGCAATGAACATTTTTAATGTGGGTCACGGTTTGGACCCCTTTCCCGAGCCGATGAATCTGATGTCTGCAAGCGCACTGAAAGACTACTGAACGACAATTCAGTCAAATCTGGGCGAAGGTCGTGTCTTTGGGGATGTGAGTGAATTATCCACTATTGTCATCATATCATTAACAGTATTGAGAACTAAACATTGAGCTGGACCTTCTTTCTGAACCTGAGCGTGTGATGTTAATATATAGACGTCAAACATGGCCCGAAAAACTCTTGTGAAATTACACGAGGAATAATGTTGCATGTCTTATTGAAAGTTGCCTGCATAACACTACAATATAATAGTTTAATACTCCTGACTGATTCCCTGTTTAAGCAGACTAACACTACTCTGACATGAATCATTGTGCATTTTTTGTTTTGCCACAGTTAATATAAATATCTTCACTCTTCAATGCAGACTGTAGCAGTTTAATGTGTTGTGTTGCACTTTTTTACCATTTTTATTTACCCTATCATTTCTTGTTTATGGCTGGCTTTGACTGTCTCTGTCAGTTATATTAGCAGTTGAATAATGTGCTAATTATTTTGAATTAAATATTCTTTTATTTATTTATTTTTTTTAAATCTCAAACAAAAAAAAATCCTTAATTTACATTACAGAGATTCCAAAGTACTTTACTTGAAAATGACGAGGAAACCTGTAAGATGAACCAGCTGGATACATTTAAAATATGTATAGTCAAATGACCAGTTTGTAAGATTATACCTTCAATATATGGTTCTAGTATAAAAAAAGAGATTGTATGATGGAAGGAGGGGAGAGAACTCTGAGAACCTGGGCTGGGTGGCGTCTGCTTTAAACTCAGGGTCTCACTTTATTTGGATAGTCCACTATAGATTATCTACAGATACTCAAATCGTTAACAAACTGTCTGTTGAAACTCAGCTGATTCTAAACAGTGGTGGGGTTAGGATTTGGACCAGGGTTAGGGCTAGGACTAGGGTGAGGGTTGGGTTTAGGTTTTGGGTTGAGGTTAGGGTTAGGATTAGAGCAGGTTTAGAGTTAGAGAAAATCATGGCCAATTTAGTAGATATTTAGTTGAATGTACCCTGAAAGTAATTAAGTATCTACAAAGCATCTAAACCGGACTATCCAAATAAAGTGTTTGTCACAGGAGACAGAATGTAGAGAATTACATTCCTAGGAAGTCAGATTGGGAGGAAGAGGAGCTTCAGGCTTGGCTCTCCTCCTTAAATTATTTTAATAATTTCCTGAATCCATTCATCAAGATGGTAGATTTTATTTTTTATTGTTTATTTATGTTTTTTAATCTAGAAACTGAATTTATTTGTCTCTGACAGCCCAATTGCTGACTGTAACAAATCCAAATACAAGCAGTGTTGTTGCAATAAAGACTATTGAATAAACAGAGGTAATGATTAGCGAATGAAGTATGTACTTTGAGTGTGAACAGGTAGTAAGAACTTGGAGAACACATGGGGAGAATGCACTTGGACCACGTGCAGGGAGTGCGCACTGGGAGCACACACTTGGAGCTTGTACAGGGAGTGTACACTTGGTCCCATACTAATCATATCCTTCCCTCAAGAGACGTGCTTCAAAAATCCCCCTCAGAGGGCACTCAGCAGTCCGAGCACATCCCACCCTCAGCTCACTGCTCAGAACAATCTCTCTCTTTCCTCTCCTCTATAGCCCTCCGCTCTCTCTCTAGCTCACCCAAGTCTCTTTCTCTCTCTCCCCTCTCCCTATCCCTCATATACCTCAGTCTCTCTCTCTCTATCTCAAATCTCTTTCTCCCTCCCTTCCTTCTCTCCATCTCTCTTACACCTCAGTCTCTCTCCCTCTTTCTCTTACCCGAGTCTCTCTCTCCCTTCCCCAAGTCTCTTTCTCTTTCTCCCCTCTCCCCACCTATCTTTCTCTTTTTTTCTCTCTCTTTCCCTCATTCAAGTCTCTCTCTCCCCATCTCTCTTTCTCTCTCTCCCTCAAGATCTCTTTCTCTCTCTCCTCTCCCCATCTCTCTTTCTCTTTCTCTTTTTCCCTCACTCAAGCCTCTCTTGCTTTTTCTCTCTCCCCAAGTCTCTTTCTCTCTCTCCCCTGCCCATCTCTTTTTCTTTCTCTCTTTTTCCCTCACTCAAGCCTCTCTCTACCCATCTCTCTTTCTCTCTCCCCCGAGTCTCTTTCTCGCTCTCCCTTCTCCCCATCTCTCTTTCTCTTTTTGCCCTCACTCAAGTCTCTCTCTCTGCTCCCCATCTCTCTTTCTTTCTTGATCTCTTTTTCTCTCTCCCCTCTCCTATCTCTCTCTCTCACACACAGGCCTCTTGCCACTTTCTCTAACACTTCAGTCTCTCTTCGTCTCACCTCAATCTCCTCTGTCTCATATACCTTGGTCTCTCTTTCTCTCAGCCCAGTCTCTTTCTCTCTGTCACTCCTCTCTCTTACGCTCTCACCCCAATCTCTTTCTTTCATTCTTTCATTCATTCTTTCTTTCATTCTTTCTTTCTCACTCGTCTCTTTCTTTCTCTTACACTTCAGTCTGTCTTTCTCTCTCTCTCTCTAACAGAAATCATCTGCACAAAAAACTCTCTATTGCCCTCAGAAACATTTCAGCTGTTTGCAGTGTGAGTGATCTAACCTCTCTCTCTCTCTCTCTCGAATTACTCAGAGTACCACCTCAGCAGCCCACCAATGATGTGTGGCAAACACAATATCTCTGGCAGAAGGATTGCTCAGGCGTGAAATGCCGCATGGATTATGATAGGCCCTCGCTAATGTTGCAGCAGCCGCGTCTGGCCGTTCCTCGCAGTGTCCTCGCTTCTCCGGAATGAACGCACCACCGAGGATGGTGTAATATCCAGCCCTGAGGAGTTGAGCATTTTTTTATGCAGAGGGCGGAAGGCAGAGCAGGTCATGCCTGCAGCAGGAAACGTGCAGTAAATACTGCGCTTTGATATGCAGGCCCTGGCTGGAATATGCTGCGTCATGCGTTTGAACCTCCATCAATTCACTCTGTTTTAATTTGAGCGGAGTAAAAGGAGTGCGGGCAAAACACTCACTCACTAAACAAGCTGCTGTGTGGGGAAAAGTCAGTACTGGACTTTGAACATGTGAGATGATGTATGGGTGTGCGCGCGTAGTCAGGAACCAGACTGAGTCTGTTTGTTTACATTACATTTTGTGGTGCTGCAAGCAAATTCTGCACTCAGAATGAATTTTTTGTCCATTTTTATAGAAATCAATGAGTGTGTTTACATGCACTCAATAATCCGATCATAATCAGATTTCTGCAGTTATCTGATTATTCAAATGGTCATGTAAACATCACACTCTGATTTCTTAGATCAGAGTGAATCCTAGAAAGCCGATTAAGAAATCTGATAAAGAAAGCTGGATTTTAGCTCAGTTATCAGACTTCTCAGTGCATGTGAACTCTTACTCTGATTTCTTTCATATTTCTCTGTCTGCACATGTGCGAAAACAGATTGCG